AGTTTATGTTTAGATTAAAGAATCAACTTATAATCAGTTGATAAAGAAAATGTATAAACCTGTGAGTACATACATTTAACCGGCAAATAATATAAATTCCGATATAAACTACAATAATTGGTCTATATTAACTGAGTTGATTAGTTACCTAGTTACAGTGACTGGTTGTAAGGGAGAAAAAATTAACTATATTTAATGATAATAATTATAATTAGTTGAACCTAATTTACCATTGTAAATTATCTAACGATTTATTCAATCTAACATCGATATACTAGGGGTCTCTAGTCGGTGAAGTGATAATTCATAATGGTATAGATCAATAGCACACTATTTACAGATCCAGTAAAAACAAAGAATTTTATTAGATAAATCTCTTTAACTCTGAATGATAGATTAAATGTAATTCACTAGTCGACTAATATTGCTATTCTATTAGAGTACACATTAGAATTGTGTTTTATACGTTCAAATGTTAACTATCTTGACAAAATAAGTCATAGAATAGTACTTATATTGACACTCTTGTACTTCAAAAGATATTCCAATATTCAATATTCAATACTGTATCATGGTCAACATAATCCGTTAAGCACTACATACAATTTTTGACTTGCCTACATTATTTTAAAAGTTATCTTTTTTAATTATTTATTTGCAACTTCTGTAATAATTTTTCAATATAAATTTCCTTTTCTGTTGAACTTAGAAAGAAAACTTACTTATTCACAATATATTGCTTAAATAATATGTCTAAGCTACTTTTTATAACTTCATATGACGTTGATCTTTAGCTACCATTCTCATATTAATTCTAATATGTTTTTAACAAAAGTTAATAACACTAATCTTATTAAAACTAAAATCCTCGATCTGATATTTTAATGTTAAAATTTATCTAGGAGAGTAGTACAATGTTTTTATTTGTTCTAGACTTCCTTTGAAACGGATAATCTTTGATAAGTCACATTACATCTTAGAACCAGATCATAAAAATCAGCTACTCTTATAAACTGTATATAAGGAAATGATTAAAAAATAATGACCCATTTCTTATATCCAAAAATATGTAGAATTTCCAATCTTTGGTGTTTATTGTGTTAGTATAAGTCGCTTCCGAATGTAAAGATATTTCATTTTATAAAATATATTAATATTCTTATAGTAAAATTTGAAATAATTTCAAAAAATAAAGAAACCTTATTCTTCACATATTGATTTGTTCTCCTATATGACCTCAATATATACACAGAAACAATTATGAGTGTTGTGAAAAAAACAACATATTTAGATTTTTACCATTGAAATGAATCCCAACAATAGATATTTTAAACTTAATAAATGTGACAGATGCACATTTCATGGTCTTCATTTACACCAAGATAATCAATAAGTTTCAACTAACTACTTTCACAAAAAATGTTTTCTAAAAGAAAATAGGATTTAATATTAGAATAGACGAGTCGTGGTTATTATTGAAATCTTGAGTTTGAGTTTCGCCTTATTTGGGTATCGTCAGCCGGATATCTGTATACTTGCACTGGGACTTAACCAAGTACTTTACTTTTCAGATAACCATTGCGTTATCCATTGAGTTGCTGAAACCAGATAGGCATTAACTTGTTTACTATTAAGGGTTTAAATTGTCCCAATATTGATATTCAGGACTGAATTCCGGTTAGTCTTTGTTAGCGTACATTTATCCAATGCAGATTATTCTGTTTTAAATGTAGTATAAATGAATTGTGGTTAGCAACGGAATTTCAACCTTTCGTAGTCAATAATGTTTTTTTTACTTGATGTAAAAGTGTAATGAATGAGATTCTTTCTAGACAGTTGATAAAATCACTTATCAATAGGGACAAAATTCAGTCCTAGTGATAAAAGATAGAAAAAGTGAAGTAACCGAGATAAATCAATCGTGTCTGTTTTTGCAAAAATAAATTTATTGTAAACAAAAAAATGAGAGACGGAGGAGGGAGAGGAAGAAAACATACTTTAATTTAAAAATGTTATCTTTTACGTACCTTAGTTGAACTAAACTGTTTTCACTTTTTATGGGCAAAATTTTAAAATTCATCTTTAACTTGTTATTTCATAATCAACTAAGCTTCATTTTTTCTCATTCTTACCACGATTGCTGTTGATACGCTAGTTTCTTTTTTTTTTACAGTTATTTTGGAAAAAAAAAACAGATCATAGGTTATAGTTACTTTATTCTTCCCCTTTTAATGAGGAATGAGTTTACAAATAAAAACTATCAATCTATGGATATAAAATAGAATCTATTCAATAAGTTTAGTGTAAAAGACATTGATTAGTCAGTAAAGAATAAATTAATGAAAATAATCCTGGATACGATTCTAATTATTATCTATGATATATTTCCTTATATTTAATGGTAATGTTAACTTGAATCTTTTCATGGATGTTTAGGACTGTAACTGATCAGTCTCTTGTTGGTGTATGTGCATACTGTGCGTATTACCTCAATATTGCTTTAATTCACAAGCATTATAAACATAGATTAGAGGATAACTTGAGTAAAAACAACATCAACTACCATTGATTATGTCGATGACATCGTCTATTTTAACAGTGCAAGTTTTTGAAAAGAATATTGAAATGATAAGCAATCCTACTTTTCATTTTGCAGTTTCAAACATAAACTAGATTTCATTGTTTCTGAATTTATTTACTTTTTTGAAAATAGAGAATTAATCTAGTTTTGTTTTTCTTAACTAAGATTTTGTTATTTCATTGTCATTAAGAATGACATCAAATTTACAATTTCATATATGTGGATACTTTGATTGGCTATTGAATTTAGCAAAGGAATAGATATACAAACAATGTATATATATTACAGAGATAGATCGGGAGTTGTGTTGTTTTTTTTGCCCCAGTTTCGTTATAGTTTTATTTAATCACAGTTCAAATCTCTCTTTTCAAATAGCCGTAAAGTATAGTTCATATTCTTGTTTGTTCAGTTTTTGTGTTTATTTTCTTGGGTTATATTTACTGTTATGATTTTACACATATACTTTGAGTTCCCCTATGCATACATCATGCACACGCATGCATACCCATACACATACATACAAACATACATGCGTAAAATGCCTATTCACGTGTATAACCATTTTTAGATTCTCGATTTTAATCTTCCCACATCTGATTTACTCGTATCAGATCATTATGACACAAACAAATATGAAATCCGCTTTATTTTTCTTATTTACTTGAAAAGATTTATCATAGATATTGTTGTTATTGGTTTATTCATTTCTCTCATTTATTTTTATTCTCAACAAATTTTTTCTTTTTTTCCTGGAAAATATTAAACCAAAATCTAATTTTAATTATTAATTGAAAGTTGAAAAAATAATTAAAGTTATTAACTTTCTTGTTCTTATATCTAAATTTTCTTATGTAGTAAGGAGAAATAATTAAACTGTAGGTAAATTTTAAAAAAATAAAAGGATTTATTTTTCACGATTATAGTCAAGAAAGTTAACATTAGACCATCATTGGAAACCGAAAACCTAGAAGCATTGGATGGCTATTTCGTTCTAGTATGGGACTACTCAGCAGTGTGCATCCACAATCTCACGCGCGAAACTGGAGCCCGAGACCTTTGATCTCGCGCGCGAACACTTAACCTTTGGACCACTAAGCCTGTGTCCAATTGTGTTAATGTCTAACTTAAATTAATTCACTATATTGTACAACCAGTCTTCATTGTCTTCAATGAGTGACTGCCTCACACCCGACACAGATTGGATTCCACTAATCACGGCTTCTCGCTAGAACTCCAGGGAATCCATCTTGAGGCCAATTACTAGTGAGCAGATGATGATTATTGTCAGATTGCGGGTTTGTAGTCTAACATTTATCCATTCGTGATCTCAATCAAAATTCAACAATTACCATAACCGTTTACTAATAAAGTGATTTGTTATAAAGCCGAATTTCAGTTCAATTAAGTAACGAATTCAATAATTACTAAACAAGAATTATAACGTTCAATTAAAACATCAGATTAATATTGAATTTTGTTTAAGTTAAATTCTGCATAATAAGATCTAAAAGTAGCTAATATTGAAGTGAACGAAGACGTATTGAGAGTAAACAATTTATTATCGGATGCAAAATTACAGTTCTCTAGTAAAATATAAGAACCATACATTGAGTGCTTCATTTGCGAATCGTCCATCAATTTTCCTTCACATCCTTCATGACTCTTCCGATTCTCGATTCCTTCCTATTTTCCCTTGTATTCTCTTCAACTCAATCTTCTCAACATTTTTGTGAACAAAAATTGACAGAGCACAAAAATGGGGTAGTTACAATCATATTTGACAATTCAGGCAATAATTATATTTGAATTCTCTTATATTTATTGACCTGTTAACAGAGATTTAATGATGATTTACATAGTGTCAATTTGTGATAAGAAATCTATTTTATATCGAAACCTGTCAACCTTGGGATGTTCAAACAGACTAAAAATGGACCTTTTTAACTTGTGTTTTGTTGACACTTGAAGCCTTTCTGTCATATCGAAATTATGAACATATTTGAAGAAGAAATATAACTCATTTATCAAGTACAGGTTTAAGTATTCTAATTTCAGTCATGATTCGGGTGCATGCTCATAATGGAATTTACAAAGCACATGTTAAAAAACTATGCATACTGTTTGAAAGTGCATTGGTAAGTAGATGAAGACTCTACTTCACTTTAGAAGAAAGAGAGAGAAAATGAGAACGGATAAGGTTGAAAATTCAAATTAACTCGACTTTTTCTATGAAACTTATTTCTAGCAATTTTATTCAGTTTGATTCTAATGATTTTTGAATTGCATCCTTAAAAAAAATTAATATTTATGTTCTTTTCTTTTTTTTTTTACATTTTACACATTTCATCCACTGCACCAATTATCAAACTCTCCTGGATTTAACCTTCTTTTGCCTCATCATATTCGTTATTCTGAACAGATGGCTTCTTCAAATCGATCAATGTTTACTTCTGAACAAGAATTAAATTTATTAGTAAGTGTTTATTTCCGAAAATTTTTTTTAGTTGTTTGTTTATTTGTTATCGTTTTTTTCATCTTTTTTAGGTTATTTTTTCTCCAATGATTATTCTTTACATCTTTAGTTGTTTCTTGTTTTCTGCTCGAGTTTATTTGTGTACTTGTTTTTCTAAACAAAAATGGTTATGTTATTTTCTCAATTTTAATGTACAATATAACTACTATTTACTTTTCTAGTTGGTAATGAGTTAGATAAGATTGTTTTTTTATTGATTATCTACTGATACGTAAGTGTATGTTTAGGGTTTTTGTGTGGACAATATGTGTAATGAAATGAAAGTGTAACATTCAGTATATAATTATGATAGTAAATAACCACTGTCCTTATTCGAAATTCCATAGTAATAAAGTATTTCCAAGTTTTAGCTAATTAAATACACTGATTTTTTAACAAATTTAAAATTTGAACATTGAAACAATTTTGTTTGACTACAAGACAACTTTTTAATAATTATGATCCAGTTAGTTCATAATAGTTAATGAAGTTATAATATTTTATCTGTTTGGTGGTTTGTGATGATATGTAACTCGTCTGTTAAAGGGAGTGACAATAATAATAATAAAACGGAAGTAAAATACTTAACAATGTGCGTCACGAACTGAAACTTTGAGAAGTAATTAGTCATGTGGTTAATGGATGAAAACAACTCCTTTGAAATATATGATACCAGATGTAAATATACTACAAATGTAAAAGCTCAAAGATAGAGTATCTTGGAAGTGTTCATTCACCATTATTTTAGATCATTTCAAGAGTGTTTAAATGTTATACAGAGCCTCATGAAGTAAGTAGTAGGTCAGAAATGAACAACTGTGAAAAGTATCACGATCCGTTGACAATATATATGGGTAATCGGTAATTATCCTCATTGTTGCACAGTTATGAAACATTTTTCCAATTTTGCTTTCAGCTTCATTTATCTAAATGTAACAATTAGCTGATTAAGACAGTTGGCATTTAAGGTGACTTCAGTAAACTGTGAAAAGTCTTCATAAAATCGGCAGTTTATACTTAATTAATCCGTTTTAAAATATTCATTATTATAGAATGAAATCAATTCAGAAAATACTCAATAACAACAAATAACTGAACACAGTTTGATATTGTTTGGTAATTCATTAAAATTTAAAGAGCATTATGCTAGTTTATAATTGATCAGAAGTAAAAATCCGAAAACATTATGGATTTATAGACGAATTATTGAATAAACCATCAATACTTTACATTAAAATTTTGTTTGAGCCATTGGATGTTGTTTATCGATACATCGTCGTAAACAGTAACAAATGAGTTCTACATAAAACTGATGAATTCAAGTTAAAGCATTCAGATAAGCCATTACATTGTTTTTCAAACTGAACTGTTTTCCAGGGATAAAGCAATTTAATTCATAAAGTTAATTATCATCAAATAGTCTTCACTCTTCAGTAGTAAGGATATAAATTAATCTTTAGGATTTATAATACGCTGAACATCTAATATCTCTTTGAACGTATCAACAAAAGACGCTGATACTGTATGTTATGCCAAAGAATTCCAGTAATTCACGACTCAACACGAGAAGCAAATTTACAGGAGCAAAATATTTAATCTCAGTCATTGAACATTCTGAAAATGTTCTGTCAATAGATCAGTCCTAGACGCAAGAAATTGTTAAAACCTAGTAACAGTCAAATCGTATTCTATAATAAAGCAATCTGCAATTCTGAACATATATTGGATCATTTATAAATTTCCTTCGAGATCCAGAAGTCTATCACAACCACCTTAGACTTTCCTATGGCTCTGAGGTCATTGGCTACAATGGCTTCTAAATCGTTGTTATCAATGATTTTAGATTAAGGGATTCCTATGACTTATTATTTCATACTCTTAAAAATATAACGTAGTATCCGAAGACTGGAAAATAACTGAACACTAATGAATAGGATGATAAAAAATGTCAGTCAGCTTTCAGAAGTTAAGTTCAACGCTCAATTCGCAACTGACGACTTCATGTGTAGTTTCAATTCCTGGACTTCCTGACATCAAAATCACTTGTCATATTCATGCTAGATTAGTTAAAGGCCAATAAAAAAGTTTATTTTTTGAAAAGTATTTATAAACTGATGATGTCAATGTTAATATTGGATCACTTTATCATTCGTGATTTTCATTATCATATGGTTCAATATTTATTTGCATATGAATTTCTTCCAAAAAATGCATCGATTTGATTTGCATTTATTATATTTGTCATATTTTTTTGATATTTGTTGATAATACTATTAAAGGTGTGGTATTTATATTAGAGATAATAAAATTTATTTTGTATGTTCTTTCAGTTGATTGGGCTGAAACCGGATAAAATGGAGTAATTTTAATTTACTGAGTAGTTTATAATCAAAGATTTAAATTGTTTTCTATCAGAATTCGAATTTTCATTTTTAGTAAGATCGTAAGCCAACATTTATACCAATTGTAATTTCAATAGTTGAGATCATGAGTCAATTGAAGCAAGACCACCGTGGAAAACATGGAAGCATGGGACGGTCGATTCGCCTTATTGTGGGACTCCTCAGCAGTGCGCATTCACGATCCTGCCTTGTGAGGTTTGAACTCAGGACCTATCGGTCTCACGAGCGAACAATTTATGCCAATAAACAATTATATTCCAGGTTTTGATACGATGTCATAAAATACTAGTCATTTGAAACGGATTAAATTAATTTTTATAAATTTCATAATTTTAAGCATAGTCCGCTAAGTTTAAACAATATTGCTCATTAAGTTTATCATTTGTAATGCATATTTAACGATAGGAGACACCATTCACTCTATGTCGAATATTATTTCTTTAAGAAATGGGGAGAAGTACTTTGTTAATTATTTAATAAGTTAACTTCTATAGAAAACAAAAGAACACGCTCTTATCATTGTCTATTTTAGATTATTCAAGCGATTCATGTGCTTCGGTTTCATTTACTGGAAATTGAGAAGGTAAGTGTGATTGATTTTTAAAAAATATTGATATTCATATACATTAATTATTTTGTACTATTTGCGTATGACAATCTTTGATTATACTTTTCAGAAAGTAATTAACAGGCTTAAATCCTCAGGTTCGAAATAAGAATTAAATGATTGTTTATGGTTAATAATAAATGAAGTTGGAAGCTTTATTGAATATAACAGCTGACTAATTTTAGTATCTAGGTGATGAATCTTAAAATCAATATTTACAATAAATGGATAACGATAATAACTGGAATACAACAGATGTATATGTCTAGATTTCAGCTATTTAACAGAATATACGCTCTATTGTTGAAAAGATCGAAATACATTCTTTTGATCACATAAGTTTCATAAACAAGATCATAAAAACAAAGTATACTATGCTTAGTGTATTTTTCACTTTATAAAAAAGTCGTTTCTGTTAATTTTAATAAATACTCATTGAACAATTAATGAGTGTAATTCGTCTTAGGGTTAATAAATAGTGTTTAGGATGGATCTAACTCTGAAGAACTGCATCAAAACTAACTTACACTTAAAAGTCAAACGTTTTGAGTTTTTCCGAATACTTGATTTATACACATAGTCTAGAAATCAATATAATGAGTTTTCCTTCATTCATAACGACATAAAGTAATTTTCTTATTTTATTTAAATGCTATTAAACCAATAGTAAAGATTTGGCTATCATATAGCTTACCACAAGGTATGTTATACTGTAACATAAAACTTTTCAAGCTACATTTCTATTATTCCACATTGAGTTCTAAGATAATAGGGCTCATACTAATTGTAATTTCAAAAGATAAGGGTACTATAATTGATGAACATCTGATGCTATTAGAAATTTTGTATATCCATTGATAATACATAAAACTTAATTCAATTAATACTAATTTCATTCTTATATTTTGATAATAATGTATAATCGGTGAATGATTTATTAGGCGATATCAAGATTAGGTTTTTGTTAATAAGCTATCAAAAATAATGGCAAATTAAACTATGAATAGGCTAATACATTATTCATAATAATAAAAATAATAAGACAGATAATAATACAAGGAATAACATTATCTATTTTCAACATAAGTAAATCTATTATTTGCAGGCATATGCAGTGATAACATTTATATGCAAACATACAAACTAGTAGATAAGGGAAGTATTTCATCTAAATACTAAGGAGTTTACACTTACTAGTTTATACACACGTTCATTTTCGTAGTATAACAAAACATCAAGTTTGTAGTATAATAACAATATAATATATAATATCGCAATAATAATAATAATAATAATAATAATGGTAATAATAATTGGTTCATTAGTATTGCTATTTTTCCTTTCTATTAAACACAACGATTTGTCGACTTTTATTTTTCTAATATTATCACTAGTTTGAAACATTAGTAGTTACAGTGTAGTTTTCTCTTTCATATGCTTCATTCTCACTTTCCTGTTGAACGCTTTCACCTTCTTGTATTTTTTTTGTCTGTCCTTTTCTCTCTCGTTTATTGTCTTCTTTTTTTCTCTTTTCGACTTGTGATGTTGTTTTCTTCTTTCTATTCTATCACATTTACTTTTCTTCCCCCTTCACTTTAATCTTTTTCTGCTCTTCTATCTTTCTATATATTTCTGCCTATCTCTACCGCTTCTCACCAATAAACTATGAATACGAGTTAGAAAGTTTATAAATATAGAGAAATAAACTCTTATACTATTGAATGATTGAACGAATAGATGAATTAATGAATAATAAATGATTAATTTCTTTCGATATTCTCCTTTTTGATATTATAAAAATAAAAAAAATTTATATCAAGTAGAAATCAAACGAGTATAAATACATATATATATAAACTGTACATCAAAGTTTGTCTCTGTACGTGTGTCTAACCTAACTACTTCTCTTAATCTTTACTAATCATTTGTAATTCATAACACTGACAGTTTTCTACAACTGAAAATGACAGTAATACATATTACCTTGATAGTTGATTGTAAATAATTAAATTGGAAATCGATTTGGTTGAAAAAAAGTAACATATAGAGTACGAAATTTACTCACAATCCTCTTTATTTAGGCTTAGCAATATCTTACTAACTATTCAAAAAAAACTTTTTTAAAAAATTAACGGTATTTTAACTTCATAGTTACAGTACTACCGGTTTGAAGGTAAAATATTCATTAGAAACTATAAAACTTATGGAATTATGTTGGAAATGAGAGAGGAAGTTATCATTGGAATACTTTAAATTAAAGGAGAAACGATTATTCGATTGATTTGTGTGTATATTTTTTTACTTCACAACTTTGCCACGTTTGTGATGTGCAATAAGTATGTGAAAAAATGCACAAAAATACTTCGTATTATAAATACAAATAAATCATATATCGTAGAAATAAAAAGTAAAGTATTTAGCAAACCATACAGTCTTTAAATGTTTCATTGAATTCGCAAATCAATCAAAGCTGGACAACCACTGTTAACCTGGAAGCATTTGAAGACTGTTTCATCCTAGTATGGTTATGTTCAGTAGCGTGCACCCACTGTTGCGCTAATAGAAGCCGAACCCAGGACCTTGTTTGAGAACGGTCAACTTCTAGACTGCTGAGCCAGGATCCAACTATGTTAATGTTTAACCCCAGCTAATCCACAGCATTCAATGACCATCTTTCATTGTCTTTAGTGAGTAACTGCCTCACGCTCGACTAAAATTAGCTCCACAGTTCACAGCTTCGCACTAGAACTCAGGGAATTTTCTTTTGAAGCTAGTTACTAGTGAACACATAATAATTCTCAGTATGTGGGTGTGGAGATTGAGGAGTTTAACTGAAATCGGGAACCGATATATAGGATATATTTAATATAACACTTATTCATATGCAACTGAAATAACATTAGTTTTGATTATTCTTTAAATGAGTTAGGTGACGCTAGGTTAAGAACGGCTATAATGATTAAAAATGTCATGATATTTACGAAACGAGAACGCAGTGTGAATAATTTGAAACGAACTACAACAAAAGTACCATAATTATCTGTTAAAAGTAGTATTTTCAATGATATAACAACTATATCATCAAAATTTGTAAGTTTTTAGACTAGCCTACAACATCAGGTCCCTCTTCAAGTAACAGAGAAGTAATCGTACTTGTATATTAGTGGGATAAATACTTTTCCACTCAGCAATGAGCTATTTTAGCTACTCTTCCAGTTAAAGCTTAGAACAAATCGGTTTAATGTTAAATTTCTAGATTAGTTTTGTGTGTTCACTAAAGTTTTGCTTAGTATTATTTTCTCAAAGGACATATTGTCAGTAGTTTATCATTGCCACTACACATTTTCAATGAAACTATGTTTCAATGATTGATTTATCCTGTTTTCAATCACTGTTTCATTTTCCATTGCATCTTCACTTCATGTATTTTAGTAAGAAAGTAGTATTCTTGTCTCTTTTTTTACAATATGTGACGCTTCAAGTGTGATACACAGAGAAGAATATGTCTACTAGGTTACTTAAGTATTTATATGTACAAAACTATCAAAACAAGTTATGCATTATTGTACTATACTGGTTTATATTATCATATAATCATTCAGCTAAAGCACGTGTGATCTCAGTTTCAGAGCTACAAAGAGATATGTAATCCTTTGAAACATATTCATTTAAGTAGATCCAGTCGAACTTAGCCATAATGTTTTATGTGTCAAAACAATCCTTCTATCTAGCAGAGATTAAACTTACTGAAATGATCTATAGACTACTTGGTGATTATTTAAATCATACCAGCATTTTAGTACAAATGACATTTTATTGAATAAGTAAATATGGCACTACACAGGATGTTTGGTTTTTGACATTTTCTTATTTATGTTTTCCTTCAGCAAATTTTACGTTTACAGTCTTTTAATAACCAGTCGATTACAGCCTCTCCTGCTTCTTGTGGTTGGTATTCTATTAATACATAATTTTAAGTGATAATAGAGATCTCTACTATTATGTTCACTGCGTATACGGTGATCATTACCACGACTAAATGAAACTGTTTCAATGACATTGTAGATTAAGTCTTTTATGTTACGTTTCGTTGATCATTTTCATTTTCAAGTTAAATCAACGCATGATTTAAATAAGGCTATCAAACCCTTGTTTTCCGTGATACTTGGAAACTAGTAATAAAATGGTTACCGAAAATCATTGCATTTTTCTTAAAACTAAATCAGATTACTCGAAAGAAATTTTTCAAGTGTATTGGTGAGGAGTGCAATGATAAAACAGAATAGTCACTCACGATTCTCTTAATCTTTGCGACTGACAAAATAAATGAAAACATAACACATTTTGTAGCATAATCCTTCCAGAATATTAACTCCTTTATCCTTAAAATTAAAATGAGTTTCACATTGGGTTTTTAACAACTTCGTACTTTGGAATGACTCTGTTAGTCCCGTCTCAGTTATGCGAATATTTACCATGATTTCGCATAACTTTAATACTTTCTCCCATATCAGTGGTGATTTTGAATCATATCATACATAAAGATTTGATTTCGGTTATTTCGCTCGTGTCTATACGTTATGTCGTAAACCAGGTAGATTGTGAATATTTATCTATCATATTTGGTGGTATTTAGTTGGATGATGGAATCTATCTTTTCTACAAATATTTGTCTGTGGGTTTTACTTTTTCTTCCTTTCCTATAACAGCTGTTTTCATTCTTTGCATTGTGTCACTGGCCTCTAATACCAGTATGTATTAATATGTGCATATATAACTTTCCTAATATACATTTTAACACGCCAAAGATACACGGCGACATAGCACCCTGTTGTGTGTTTATTTCTAAACGACTTTGCTTATTTCAGTTCGCATAAAATATACACAATATGACAGGTTGACAGCTTTTCATAAAAAAAAGAGAATAACAAACATGAATAAAGAAAAAAACTGATATTGGTTATTTTAACTGTTTCAGGGGAATGGTGATGGTTGTGTGATGATATGGTATTAGTGAACCAAAAGAAATCTAACATCATCTAACCAACTAACTAACAAAATGTCCACAAGGCCTGGCATTTTTAATAATAACAAAAAACGCAGAGGATTACTGTACCTTTTCATTCTGTTACTAGTTGAAAGAGGAAGGAAAGAAAAACGAAATCTGTAAATAGACCATTGATAGTATCGATATTATGACTACATAGTTTTATCATTAGTACCACTACAACTATAAATACTACTAATAGTAACCAGAATAATCATTACAATATCCCGTTAGTAATCAGCGAAATGATATACATATCGTATTTATCTAAACAAAGTAAAAGATATCTAAAACATTTCCATACAAAAATCCAACTAATATGTTACTTAGTTAACCTTTGGAATATTGTACATATTTACAAGTAATTTTTTAAAAGTATGAGGGGGTGTGATGGAGCTAAAGAATTTTTGGTTAGGTTTGGTTTATCTAAGGTAAAGTGAGAAGCTGTCAAACTTAACTCTTTTTTTTCAACATTTTCTATGTTGTATGCATAAACAGTTTTTAATTTTAGTTAACTACATATGACGCACACATATATGTACATTCATACATGCAGTATAATGATATTCATGTAACTTACACTACTCGAATAAATGATGAAATGGCATAATTGTAATCAACACATAGATGAGATAGTAACCATGTTCTTTTACTGAAATTTAGCTAATAAAACAATATTAAAATAAGAATCAAAAAAGAACCAGAAATAGGAAAAAAACATTTAGAAAAAAAAAATTAACATTATGATGATCTACAACATTTTGTATAATATGAGATGGATAGATAGGTAAAGAGAGAGAGTGTGTAAGAGAGATAGACAACTGGATGAATTAGTGAAGGAATGAATAGTGATAAATGTTAATTTAAAGGAAAAAAAATGCTGATGTTGTTTTTTTCCAATTTTTTGTGTAGAACTAAATATGATAAAATAAAAGCACAGCATGACAATACACGTGTATATGTTATGTATAGTAATTAACTATCTGACAAAAGAAATCAACAAAATGAAAATGAAATCATGCGCAAAACAAAGAGATGGAGAAAAAGGAATGGAAATTAGTAATGAGAAATTAATTGACAAGAGATAAATTAGTCAACATACAATTTTAATAGAATTAGAAGTGATAGTATTACTAATGTTAATTGGAGTTTTTGATTGTACTCATGACCAATCACGATATGTTGATTCTGAATAAGTTCATATTATGTAGACAAGTTTGAGGTTGTCGAAATAAAGCGATCTGAATTTTTAAATTTTCAGTGGTTATTTTATTGATTTGTTTTGATCGTTCGAGTCTTCCAATTATTGTTTAGTTTTGCAATTAATCGGTCTCTTTAGGCGTATGTGCACCCTATGTGGATTGCTCCGACATAACCATTAAATCGCAAACATTATAAGCGGAGATAGATAGTAGGTAACAACGGAGTCCCCAAACAGTCTTTCATCCTGTTTACAAAACATCAGCTGCATATACTTGCGTCCTAGAAATGATGTTCACTTCGGGACATCATTGGGAAGATTCGAACAACCAATACAAACGAATTAACATTCAATCCATAGCATGAGTCAGTCACCATCTGGAATCAGTGGCTAAGCAGATAACGTGATCGCTGTTGAAGTACGTGGTAATAGGTTCGAATCCCGGGGTGAACGTTTACTCTGGGAAGGAGGTACACCCAATTGACGAATCCTAAACAGAACGAAACGTGTGTTCTAGATTTAAATGCAGGCCACTATCCAACTTTATCTATAGTTGTTTCAGTGTCTAAGTATCTTGTTGTTGTTACAGTAATTTTTCAGAATAACATGTAATATGATTCGACAGTACATAGTTATGTGTATTTGAATGCAAATACCGATAATCGTAAAAGTACTGGTATAACTAACTCACGAAGTCTGCTTAAAATATCGACAAATATCAACCATAAATTGTTTTCTAAACAGATTCATCGTTTCTTTTCTGAATTCGATTATGAAATGTTAAGATTACTGTGTATGTCCTTTTTGTATCTGATCTTGTAGGTAGGGTTTAAGTTATCCTAAACTGTTTATTATGAACAACATTACTCACTAAGCGAAAGGGAAATTGACCTAGAGTGTTTAGTAAACGTGAAAACACTGTGAATAATTTTAGCTTGGAATCGGCTATGAAGTGAAAACCTGATATCGTTTGTAACTGTGGTTTTACGAGACAATTTTACATTTTTAAAAATAAGTTAGATGTTTCATCTTACAGAGAGGAAAGAAACATAAAAAGTTTAGCTTTAATCATAATTTTATATGTCCGAAAATAGTCATATTATTCTGAATAAAAATATACACTATATACTACTTTCCAGGTAACCTTAGATAACGAATATCAACAAGAGCTTTTTTTCACTCACATTTATGATAATGTCTAGAGTAATATCAGAAGTACCTCAATGGAAAAAATATGTCCTCAAAAATATCATTTTTAATCATTTACACTTAGAGCCACACAAGAACATATAAAAGTAAGCTTATCGACTATTGTGGATTTGTGTTGATTGCAGTGCCTATAATTACCAGTTTAGAGATTGTTGAGGTTTAAGTTAGATCAGAAAACGATCAATATTGGACCACCATTTAAAACCTGTAAGCACTGGATGGTCGTTTCGTCCTAGCATAAGACTCTTCAGTAGTGCAGATCCACGGTTCCGCGCGCGGGATTCGAACCTAGGACTTATAAACATACTTTTTACTTAACAAACTGAATAAAGGTTTGTTGACTTACCAACATTCATATAATAGAGGTGTACTGATCAGAAAAGATTATTCAAAAGTTTAATAATACTTATATAGACTCCCTAACTGATACGCTTCACAAGACGAGGTAATTGAATACATGACTTATTCTTATCAAAAATATTTATCAGTTTTTGGTGAAACTTCGTCAGAAATAAAATTAAACATTTCCAGCATATTTTTTCTGAACAAGAGATCTTTTATTCGTATATTTAGTCTGTTTAAATGATATTAAAAATTATAGTCATTCGTATTTGTCTACAGAGACAAGAAAACTCAACTTCCTCCACGTGATGTTATAGTTATGTCAAGGATTACATTACTAAGACTGTTAGTTGAATTCATCTAATTAACCTGTTTATACAGATCATGAAGCATCATTCTCAGTTCATATTGTTTAACAATTACCAGTTAAGTAGATAATATACACAAGAAGTTTTGAATTGTCTTCTTTGTTTTTTGATATAACCGACAAATTTACATAGTGGATCTTTGTATCATTTTTTTAACTGCTTCAGTGTGCATTGACCGTACAGTAAATGTTGATATTCTTAACTTGTACACTTTTCCTTCTGTTGTTTTACAATTATGTAATCGAGCATTTAAGAGTACACTGGAACACCTGTGAAGCTGAATAAAAATGATTTTCGCAATACTTATTCCCTAAATGATTCTCGTCATTTATGCTATGATAGAGATTAATTTGTATTAAAAAGCAATCTTTCTTAATAAGTTGATGCTAATATTGTGTCATCGTTTGGATCCATTGTTAGATGACTATTTCACGTGATGCATCAAGAATTCAGCTAAAAGTTTATTCAGGAAGATTCTTCTTTATAGGTAAACACATCTTAGAATAAGCATACTTATATGAGTTGTCTGTTTAATAAAAAAATACGATACACTTCCAAATAAGTTTATCGTGCGAAGGTAAAAAGGATAAGTGACCGTTTTTTACTACATATGTTTATTATATGAAGAAAAGAAAAAATGATCAAGTGTCTTATCTAAAAGAAGTCTATTTCTTTTATTTTTGTCCACTCTTACATAAATAATTTTTTATTAGGCCTTTGTTTAATTGTGTCTTGAGCATTTGTATAAATAATGAAATAAAAGGGTAGGTAAAAATATTGAGTGAAACAGATACAGAAACATATTATGTCGATGTAAGAGTTGTGTAACATTGGAGCATTTGTTCGCTATAAAATGCTTATACATAACCATACAATCCATAAGGAAAACATATTAATAACCACTAGAATGTATTAGTCATACAAGTCTATTGAAGTCGAAAAACTAATATTCATACTTCAACATAAAACATAATAATGTAAACTGTATCACACTATCAATTTCTTTAATTTACACATTTACAAGCCCAATTATTTCACAAAGGACAATGATTGTTTTATTACAAAGGTTGTTTGATCACAAGGATAATTGATTGTAAAAATAAATGAATTATAATACCCAGACAAAAAAAGAAAAGTATTTATCCTTTATGTAATATATCAATAAGAAACCAGGTACAGAATTTGTACAAGAACGAATCTTAGAGATTAATACGAAAATTGTTGAATGTAGTTATTTGCATTTTACTGGTTGATCAAGTTAAGAAACTCGATTACTATCCAACTTTTAAGATTATTTTATTCATCATACCTTGTTTTGGAAAGCCATGTGAAGTAAGAAACACTTATTATTCATCCGGATAGTTTTTATGTGAGTCCAAGTGAAGATAAAGAAGAATAAGACAAATGAACAACAGGTTGATCACAGAGTATAATGTCGAAAATAGCCATTAGTTAAGGAAATCCAGTTCCCTACATGATTTGTACACAGAATTCAATTAACAATCAAAACTCTTGATTTATCTGGTAATAAACAAAACTTGATGGATTCATATTTCTATTACTGAATACAACTGTTTCTCAATAATTTCTTTGATCTTATTTTTCTCATTTTCTTATTTTTTAAAACTAGGTTCATGAATTATGCGATAGTTTTTGTTCACGTTACATTACATGTTTAAAAGGTAAAATGCCATTGGATTTAGTCTGTGAAGATAGAGAATCTGCAGCTGATTCTACAGGTTCAGCGACAAGTCCATTTTTAAATCGTTCATCTTCACCAAATTTATTTACTGATCAAAATGAATCGTTAATAAATAGTCAACAGAACAATTCTAATTTGTATAGTAATAATAATAATGGCTCTGTGCAAAATGGATCATTATCACTTTCAAATCATCCTCTTCAGTCATCATCATCTGCGTCGCTTACGCCAAATTCAATTCCTCATCTACAAGAATCTTGTTTATTTAATTCGGATTCATTAAACATTATGCAAACATTCAATCGTACTAATAACAATAATAATAGTGTATCAACTGTGGAAAATTTTAAAACTATTCTGTCTAATGAATTTGAACATAATCAAATTATTAATTCTAAAAATATTGGTATTACTGCAGATTCGTCCAAATTAAACTTTGGTTTAAATGGATCCATGTCATCATCATCCACATCATCAATGGGTTCAACTTCACCTAATGCACAAGTGGTAAGTTTTTTTGTGTGAAGATATTAACTGATTCATAGAATTGATGAAAATTTATTCACAAGCTGGATTTGTTTAAAAATCATTAAACATTATTAGAATGGCGGTTTGTGGGGAATGTAGTAATCTAAAAAAAACATTTTAATGATATTCATCATGTGCTCAAGACAGATTTCCTGGAGTTCTAATGAGAAGCCGTAATCAGTGGAGTTCAATCCGTGTCGGGTGTGAGGCAGTTACTCACTGAAGACAACGAAGGCTGGTGGCCCAATATCGTGGATCGTTTTAAGTTGGACATTAACACCGTCGGATGCCGGTTCAATAGTCTAGGGGTTAAGCGTTCGAGCACGAGATCGATGGGTTCGAGTTTCGTGTGTGAGATTGTGGATATGCACGGTTGAGTAGTCCAACACTAGAATAAAATGGCCGTCCAGTGCTCTCAGGTTTTCAATGGTGGTCTAGCTTACATCAACTCATGAATCCAACTATGGAAAATACATTAGCATCAGAAGGAGATTTGTGTAGATAAGATCATGAGTCAATTGAAACTAGACCACCATTACCAAGTTAATATTATTATCAATGTCTTTATTAAATAGTGTTAAGTAAACCTATGATTTGATAACATTGATTTGAAAGACAAAAAATAACTGATTAATTTAAAATAACAAATAAGCTTTTATATTATTCATTTATTACTAATTATTCATTTTAATTTTTAATGATTCCCTTTTATTTATGATTCATATAATAAAACAATATAAGTATGAAAATATTTTAAATAAATATTGAACATAGAATATATGTATAACCCTTTCCTTGTTTATTTAGTGTCTATGACAAGAGCAATTCATATCCAGGGTAATATATATATATATATATATATATATATATATATATATATATATATATCAATAATAGTCAAATCAATAAATATCATGAATACTTTATAGGGAATGAAAGTTTAATTAATAATTTCCCAAATTCTTCTAGAAATGACAAGAATATATATAAGAAGATACTATACATATATATAAACAATTACAGTCCAAGTGACAATTGCATGTATACAAATTTAAGTGAATGTACATGTATGCTTGCATAGATATTTCTGTTGTACATATATGCGATTGTGATATGACATTTGACAGATATGACCAATGATCAATGATCGACTTCCAACAAAGTTATTTAAATGTAAATAAACAAAATAAGAGAATCGAAAATTCAGAATAAGTCAAATATAAATATTGTGTCAACACAATGTTTTTCATATAAATCTGTACTTTGTTTATTTATTTTAGTAAAAGAAGGTAATAATCTAATCAAATATAACTTTGTCACTAATTATAAAACATTGTATGTATGGACTGTGCATAAACTGAATTTGAAAATGTATAGAGTTGGGTATGTATTTTATGTTTTATTTATGAAGTAAAAGAACAGTTTGGTCACAGCTTCAATGTCATTTAAATAGTCATCGAAAAATTTAACATACAATGAATAAGTTTTCATTATTTTTATTCCACGATTTCTCTAACGATACATCGTTCTTGTTATGTTCATTCCATTGATCTTCTTATGGCATGATGAAATTCACAAGTATTCTTAAATCCGTACTTAATACTTGTGACTTATAGTAACAAATTATGTAACAACTTATTTTACTTCCAATATTTTATAATCAGATAAGTTCGTTTAAAAGCATAGACATTCTGATTTTTTTTTATTTCTCGAAGTGTAATAAATAGTTGTTATTGTATAATCAACTTCTAAGTGAAGCCACTTTAAAGTTGCTTAATTAATAATCTATCACTGTGATTTAATACATCAAAATTGATCTCGACGGTAACCACCTAGATTTAGTTTGTAAATTATTTGTATAATCAAACATTAAAATTAGACACAATATAGAATTTTAAAATTAAAGCAGAATTAAGTCTATATTATAGGTTCCGTATCTCTTTTCTTCTTCTTCTTTATGCTCTTGTGTTTCATTTTTGTACTGGTCCATTCTTTGGAAATCTTTTTCTCAAATATTTGGATTATAGAGTTATTAAGAAAAATCAAGACGTTTCAGAGAAATTTTCTTTTCGATGCTATCATTTTGTTAGACCATATAATTTTATTAATAGTCTATTTTCTTTTGAACTAACACTTATAAGATTACTTATCAATACTATTGTACAGCTCAAGAAAATGACATCGTCTAAAAGAATATTTTCTTCAATGGATTTTTCCCTCTACGTGGATTACTATTACTGTAATAATGTGTGCTGGAGTGTAACTAATTTCGAGAGGGCGGTTCCCAGAGTTTTATTGACTATGTTGAATGCTAGTTAGCCGGTGAATAGTGGCATTGGTTGTGCGATGGCGCAAATTAATGTTAGATGCACAGATCATTGGATATCGCTTGAGCGGTTTAAATTTAAGGTGCTCGTCATGAGACTTAAGGTCTCGGGTTCGATTCCAATTTGGGTTTCTGATACGTACCACTGAACGATTTTATACTGGAGAGAAGTGATTGTCTGATGCTTCTTGGTTTTCAACAGTTATCTAACTGATATCAGTTCATTATGTAAACTATATTATGCTTGAATTAATTATTTGATTGTTCTTTGATTAGTTATCGACATTAAGCAGGGAGAATCATAGTATGTGGAAGTTGCTAAGTAAATTATATTAAACGGATCTCTTGGTAATTAACACTACATTACAAGAAACAGTTCAGCCTATGATTGCATCACAAACGGTATATGGTATATCAGTGACATAAATGATGAGAGTGAAGTATATTCAGACGGGCTTTATAAAGTAACCAACGAAGTGACTTTTCATTAAATGTAAGTCACATACACCGATATTATTCCACTTCTTAATTTTAAATGTCGTCTCTATCAGTTCGGGACTATTTCAGGAAGTTTGATTTCTAATCGGTCAATAATTTCTTATATCCATAGTACGTCAGTGATGAAAAGTCTATTAAGCTACTATTAAGAAATATGTACGTACGAATTTCTCGTACTCACAAGACAGTTCAGCAAATAAGCTGATTACATATAGGATTTTATAATTCAGCTTTACTGTTAGGGCGCTGATCATAGTCTTTGTATTTCGATGGAGATCAACTAGTTGACTCTCACTGAAAATTCCAAAGTAGTTGCTACTACATACTTTTAATTAATATTACACTGAAATTATCTAAATAACTAGTCTATGCTTAGTACTATGAGAAAATTTTAAAAATATATGTAGAAGTCATAAATTTTAGGTTTTATAATCTGCTAATCAATACAACTTGTTAATTTGTTAATTAGTTAGCTCCGATTTTTTTTCTTAATTTCCAAGTCAATTCATCTTAGTCAATTTGAAAGGAAACCAATCAACTAGTTATTGTGATATATCATATTACTTTGTGTTTAAAAATCTAAAATCAAGCATGAATTACTCTTTTAGTGATTCAGTCAATAGTTCTTGTGATGTGGTAGTAGTAGTAGTAGTAGGAGGAGGAGTAGCAGTGGGAAGAGGGAATAATCAAAGAAAGTGAAGAACAGCTAAAATCTTTGCAGAAGAATAAAAGAAGATGAAAAGTATAATGTGTCTTCTATGTTTATCCACTTGTGTGTTTCTATCTACTCACATGATTGTACGCATAAAACAACTTATAAATGGATAGAATGACATGTCTACAAGGTAATGAATGATGAATTGGTCATTTGGCATGTGAGCCTCAAAACATAAACCTATTTTTAAATTATCCTGATATTGAAACCTATGATGATGATAATGATTAGAACGACGATGATATTGCGCAGCAACTGACTTATTTAATTAGCCTAGTAACAGCTTGTAAAATTTGAACAAAAAAATGTATGTATAATGTCACGGGGTTTAACCGAATTCTCTCTAGAAATTTGACAGATTCGGATGACTGTTTTCAATTGCTTTTACTCTTCATAATATATACATATATGGAAACACTTTTGCAAATACATACACCTACAGACACAACTACACACACGGTAAAGAAGAATTGGAGAGAAAAATTGAGTGAAAAAATCACCACCACCATCATCACAACATCAGACGACAACTGGGAAGCTTTTCAAGCAATGTCATTCTGTGTGGTTTGATGAAACACATAAGTTATTGAGATAGTTTGAAATTAGGGAAATTCAAAAGAAAAGAAACAGCAAATAAATCCTAGAAATAGTGAGGATAGAAAGGAAAGAAAAAAGAGAAATTGAGAATTAACAGAAGGTGGAGGTTGCTATTTTGAAATTTGAAAATAATTGAGAATGTAGGAAAATTTTTTTTCGTTTGCTAACGTTTCACTGTTTATTTTTTTAATACATGAAATAATCTACAAAATTTCAGCTGGTTTATTCCTCTTCATTTAAGTCTATTTATAATTTGTACATGGTATGTTTAGTAATAAATGAATTGGAGAAGAAGAAATGATACATTGAAAATACCAAATCAATCCGTTAGTATATACATGTATATCAAAAAGTCATGTAAGAGAAATGAAATTTAAAGATGTATTGAATGTCTTGTTATTTGTCACTAGATGGTTTTCCGTAGCCTTTATTATTTATGAAAAGAAGCAGGATGTAAAATGACGTACTGCTCATGAAATTACGGATTATCATAGTTTTAATCACAAACTGACCTTAGATCAATCATGACAACTAGGAAGTACTGGATAGCTGTTTGATCGTAGTATCCGACTCTTCAGGAATGCGCATCTACGGCTCAATCACAGAAAATCGAACTAAGTACCATCGGTTTTACGCGTAAGCGCTCAACCTATAGACTGGTAAGACAGTATCCAATGGTTAATATGTTCAATTTCAATTAATACTGAGTAACAATCTTCCATTGCCTGCTGTGGATAACTGTCTTACACCCGATATGGTTGAGCCCCACTTTTTACTAGAACTCCAGAGATCACATCTTCGAGCTGGTCACTAGTGAATACATGGTTATCACCAGTATACGAT